CTCATCCCAAGCAGCACCCACAGCCCCTGCCACCATCCTCCTCCTCAGCATCACCCCGCGGCCCTTAAGCTCAGCCCTGCCCCTCATCCCCACCATCAGCTCCACCACCACCACCACCACCATCATCATCATCATCATCATCATCATCATCATATGGCAGGCCAAGCTGAGGTGGTCTCTAGTCAAACGGGAGCGTTTGGCCCGGCGCAGTCAACAGCAGTCCCTTGCCCCGTCTCTCACCCAGCCCAGGCTATTGCAGCAGGTAGGGACTTTTTCATACGCAGAGACCTGCCGGCCCCAGTCATGCCAGGGCTGACCGAGCAGCGTCCCGCTGCAAGTTCTCACCACGGACTGTTTGTCTCAACAACAGGTAGCTGTCCCGGACACCATGGTCACCACCACCACTCAGAAGCTGGGAATCCCTCTCTGTTCACTGGACTCCATGAGCAGCCTCCCCATGCAGCTCCAGGTGGCCATCTAAACGGACAGATAAGACTGGGGTTACCTGGAGAAATGTACGCCAGGTCTGAACATTTCACTCAAGTACCAGCCTCCAGGACAGATCCTTTTGCTGCTTCTTCGCTTCATAGCTACGGTGGCATGAATCTGAACGTGAATCTGGCTCCACACCACGGCCCTGGTGCCTTCTTTCGTTACATGAGGCAGCCCATCAAACAGGAACTCATCTGTAAGTGGATTGAGTTGGACCAGACTCCCAAAAAATTATGCTCGAAAACTTTCAGCACGATGCACGAGCTGGTGACTCATGTCACGGTGGAGCACGTTGGAGGACCCGAGCAGTCCAATCACATATGTTTCTGGGAAGAGTGTCCAAGAGAAGGGAAACCTTTCAAGGCCAAATATAAACTTGTAAATCACATCAGAGTCCACACAGGTGAAAAACCTTTCCCCTGCCCTTTCCCAGGCTGTGGCAAAGTGTTTGCCAGATCAGAGAATCTCAAAATACACAAAAGAACTCATACAGGTCAGTATGTAAAGCTCTCTTTACTCTCTCTCTGTGTTATTCAGCATACTGTTTTGCTTTGTTTTGTTTTTAATGTATCCTTTGCGTTGTTATTGACTGCACGCCAAGTACTTCTGGAAAATAAATTCTCAGATTTGTTTGCTTCTTTGCCATTTTCGGAGGGGGAGAGATAAGAAAAGGAGAAGAGAAAAAAGGGAGAGCGAGAACAAATCTCAGAATTCACGTGCCTATTTTTTCTGGTTGTGCGGAGAGACTGTTGTAATGTTTATTCGGGTAGATCTGTGTAAATATTGAGAGATATAGCTACTATTTCTGCTTATTCACACAGGCAAGGTTTTTTTTTTGGCGGTTTAAAGTGGTTGGGGAAAAATGAAATTATCGTGCAAGCTCACAAATTAAAAGCGAACAATAGAAGTTACAACTTGTCTAGTCAGTTTTGACTGATGTCGCTGAGATGCTGCTGTTCTAACATTGTGAGAATAACACAGCTGCGACCTTTTCGTTCGACAGTTTTGTTTTGGTCAGAGGGAGTTTCAAATGTTTGATCTGAATAACAGTGACATTTTTAATGAGCATTGCCATCCAACGACTCTGTGCATTCGCAAATATGGGGATTTGCAAGTTTTGATTCTCGGGAGGATAAAAAAAAAAGGAAAGGAAAACGCGGTATTGTTTCGGCCTGTACATTTTGAAATGTCATTTGCAGAACTCTTAAGCGAATTTGAGACATGTGTCAGAAACATCTGTGAATTGTAGTTGACAGAAAGGAAAGTAACTCGATGGACAATCTGGCAAAACTATGTTCGAATTCTTCCGGCCAGCAAAGCATTTATAATTAATGAAATTGCACGTAGAAAGTTTTCACACTTCCAGGAGCAGCTTGTGAAGTTGTATTAATTAGTTTAGCAGCCGGTGTTTGTAGTCTGTAGCGCTAGCTTTTTTTTTTTTTTTTTCCCTTGAAGAAGAAGATAAGAAATAAGCCCTTTTTGGAAAATTTAATCTGTTCCAGTGTAGGGTTTTCCACCTCCCACCCCCTCCTGTACAGCCTTATGCACTGCTAGGGAAACTACATAATCCTATTGTAAGATCTGCTTACAGCCAAACGATTTTTTTCGCCCTCCAGTTCATAAAACTCCCCTTCCCCCATACTCGCTATACGGCCTGACCTTAGAGGAGTTGCATTTTTATGATATAACTCGACGTGATATAATATGCATGACACATATACTAAATTCGTACCGCTATCGTCTAAACATAGCACAGAGATTTTACAGTAACCATCACTCGTCACCTAATTATTTTTCCATTGCTCTGTGAGTAGTTCATCTGTGTGTAGGGGGATGCAATATCAAAGTTGTGTTTCTCTGCTATGTTCTCGGCCCCCTTTTAGAGAAGAAAGGAGTATCCCCGGGTCACACAACTTGTATCTGAGCCAGCTTCTTGTCGGTTCGGAACAGGTACAGCCATTAACCAGGCTAGCTCATCCCTTAATGACAGTGTTTTCCTTAAGTAAACAAACTTTTACTGCTCTTTAACGGCCTCACTGTTTGAAGTCTCTGAAGCAGAAAATGGTTAAATTCTTAGTGAAACTGACCTACATCAGAGAGGCAGGTTCAGGGCAAAACAGCGATCGGAGGTTGGCGTTTATTAAACACAATCCCGTGCGCCCGTACTTTTCACTCTAACTTTCGCAGTGATTAATTGCCGGACTGCGAAAACTCCTGCGGGGCCTTAATGTTTCCACCGTTTGTATTAAACGCCCCGAAGTTGTCAAAAACGAAATGTTTCTGAAATCCTAACAGAACTCGCCACGAATTATTCATGAGGCCAGTTGAGGATTCAACAGGAAAATTATTGCCTCCTCAAATATTAATGACGGCGGATTTCTGCCAGGCTGGGGAGCGGGGCAGGGGGATTTGCGGCGAGGGGGGCTTTT